TCTACATATTTAACTCTATTTATACAGTTAGAGGCCATTCTGTTCCCAGGAATACAAAACAGAAGAGGAGCCAGTTTAGTTCCTTGAGGAGTTCCGTCATTCAGCCATATGGGTGGGGACAGAGCCTCCCCCACCGTCACCCTCTGGTTCCTGTTCGTGAGAAAGGCAGCAATCCACCTCACTAAATGTAGGTCCACATCTAGGCTATCAATACAGTCTTCTTCCGACTGAACTGCTATCTCACCGTCTTCCCCAGCTTCCTCAATAAATTCTGCCCAATATTCTTCCTCCCACTCTTCAAAAAACTCTTGGACCTCCATACTAAAGTGTGGATTATTTTCTTTGTTTATCTTTGTTAATTTTGTTAGCGCAGAAAAGGATCATGATAGATTTTGCGTGCTTAATATTGTGACATCACATTTTTCCACTATGTTGGAACCGATCGCGTCAGCCAGTTTCCTATCCAGTCTTTCCATTATCCATGCTTTCACTAGTTTGTTTAAAGTTGAGTCTTACAAAGGAGAGAAAGACTAAAGATCATTTTGCAGGATAAAGGCTTCCCATTTTGCATTGAATTTTCTTATAATCCCACTTTTAATGACACAATAGTCTTTCGTAATCAAGACAATTTAATATGGTTCGAAGAAAAATGATTTAACTGGAGTCCTTCATCGCCATACTGAACTACTTTACAATTCAATACAACATCTTATGTACCACATTCCATGGCATTTTAGTGCCACAGAGTTAATCTATTTTTCTTACAGGCTAGTAGATGAAGGAACGAGAAGGTGCCTGCAACAAAGGCCTGAGTTTTTCGTTTCCTACACCCCATACTTTTTAAAGATTCAGAACTCAGGCTTCTCTAGGGATTGTAGCTCAGCCATTCGATTGCCTCTTATTCTTTCCTCCTGACTTGGAGTATCTTAAACTGCCGTTCTGCACTCGGTATTGACTGGCAGCTTCTTTAGAATGGACAACAACAATGCACATTTGGCTGGGCAGTGTAGCATTTCTTCCTCTGTAGAAAACATAGATCTCTGTACCATTGTAAGTTCGTATCTTCCTCAAGCTTCTTGGATGTCGATCTAAGGTCGGCTTCTGCATGTCACCATCATGTCCCTAAACTGGTTCTTGTCTTCTTGTAGCTCCACTATTTGACTATTACTAGAAACCTTTATTTTCTTCCCCCAGATTTTCCATGTCTGGAGCTCTCTTTTCTTCATTGGAGACCAAAGATTGATGTTTCCTAACTTGATGCGATCTTTCGCTAAATTGTCAAACAGTTTCTGGCCAATCTCGCTCTCTTCCAAAATATTTTTCTTAATCTTGCTCAGCATTACACCCTTTGTGGTTAGGTTGAAGAGATTGTTGCTCTTCCCAAAGAAAGGATTGGTGAAATTCTTCACTGTGGCTATCACCTGTTCTGTTTTTCTCTCCCCAAGAAATCATAGAAGCTGACATAGGGAGGACCATGCCTACCTTATTTTTCCATGCTCTAGAGCATGATCAACTCCGAAAGCACAAAGTGGCACATGCAGATTTATGTTAACAAACCAATTACCTTCGACAAATTATTCGCCAATCTGAAAACAAAAATTCAAATGAGATGGCAAAGGGGCCCTTTGGACAGTGGCGATTTTGGCGAAAATGGCAGAATTGGCACTTAATGGCCAAACTCGCCAAACTGTAAACAAAAATTCAAATGAGATGGCAAAGGGGCCCTTTGGAAAGTCGCAATTTTGGCGAAAATGGCGTGCACTAATTCTGTATCTTTTCATCAACCACATATAAAAAAAATGTGGTGTGCATGTTGGCCTCGTTCTTAAAACGTGTTTTGGCAGAAATGGCAATTACTTGATGAAATACCTAATTGGTCAAGACAAATTGAAATGACATAGGAAAGGGTCCCTTTTGAAATGGCTATTAATTGCCAAATAGTTAACCACATATTAATATAAAAATGTTTCCAATAGTATAATTGTATACTGATAATGACAACGCTACTGTAACTTAAGTGTCATTGATCTGTTTTTAATGCTTTTACCTTTAACTGATAACCTCTTGGGATTTGAAGTTCGTCCCAGACAAGAGTGTTTGGCCGGGAATTACCAATTGTAAATAATTTCTTGCTCAATTCAAATCGAATGGGCAACGAGTTGTATTCGATTATCAGTAAATAGTAATCTTCGTAATGTTCATGGCAACTTTCTTACCAAAAAATCCAAGATAGTTATCCTTAATTTTCCAGGCTCGTAAGCATTGTTTGAATAGCAACAGTTCAAAATTATATGTTATGAGGAATCCAGGTTGGTTCTTGGCTATGCATTCAGATAATTAGATGGTCCGTATTGCATTGTATATCCATCCTGTTTGTTATAATGGCGTTCAATCGTACAAGTATATATAAATGAGCTGATTCATTGTGGTTTCACAGAATATGAACGTGTATAAAGGTTTAGTAGTTGTTATACAGGTGCGGCAGCCATGTTGAAATAGTCTATTTTGGATAATTACTCTATGTAAGCAGAAACGATTAATATCATTCCCAGCTGACTTTGGTGGTCACTCTATGTAAGCCAAACGATTAATGTCGTTCACAGGGACTCTCAGGCAATTGTGAAAATAGAATGTAAAAAGGCCGGGTGACTTGTTTCAACAAGCATTAGCAATTTAATGGAACACATATCGTACTGAGAATTGGTTTGGTGGTCTCAGCGCAAAAAAACAATACATTTTCTAAATTTCTGGCCCTACCTCATAAAGCAATAATGGGACACATGTTTGAAGAGCGAGACAAACATGTACACTATCTTTTTATATATTTAGTTGATGAAAAGATACAGAATTAGTTTGAATGGGATATGTTTTATGAAAGAGACAAACAAGTTATTTCTTTGCCCGGGGGCGGGGGGTACTCCCATACATTACCTATACGGGTAATGTATGATTTAGAACGGGGTATCCATTTCAGAGGCGTTTTCTAGAACGGGGTATAAAAAATTGTGGATCACGGCTTTATCTTCTCCTTAAAATTGTTGCTGATTATGAACAAGCATTTATTTGATGTATAAGTCGAACAAATAAAGAAATATCTTTTTTAAAAAAACAGGGCTATTTCAATTTACAAACTTTCTAGCACGGAGTATAAAAAATTGGCCTTTTTCTAGAACGGGGTATCAGTTTTAGGGCGAATTCTAGAACGGGGTATTAAAAATTGGCCCATTTCTAGAACGGGGTATCAAGTTAAGGGGAAATTTTTTTTAGAACGGGGTGCCAATTTGGAGTCCCGGGCGGCACATACCCACCCAAAAGATACCCAAGTACCCCTCCCGGGTTTCTTTGATCAATAAATGCGGTGAGGTACAGTGTATTGGGCACTAGTGACATTTCCTGGAGGTTTACATAAACTGAAATAAGTGAATTCACACATTTCAAAATGGTGCACGCAAGCGGGACATTTTGGCTTTTGTTACTTTTAGGGGACCGTTTCTCAAAAGAGGAAAACAAGTAAGTGCGAGAGGAAAGTGAAGAGTTTAAAACGATGGAAGAAGGTAATGTGTATAGTGGAGAACCAAAAAAGAATGAAGGCCACACACTGGTTATCGTGAAAGCATCTTTTAGCCAGGAACCATGCATTTCGCAATCGCTTTTGATTTAAGGCTGCCTCACAATTTAATGGAACCAATGAGAAGAGAATTGTAACCAGTGAGGATTGTTCATGTCTACATCGAACCTCAAAAGTTAGAGTGTCCATGGCAAGGGATTATTATGATTTTAAGGACTTGGTAGTTCTCTCTCAAGTAATTAGTGGACTTGTAAGTCTTTGAAAGGAATGAACCATACAAAAGCAAATGATGCTAGTGTGATATTTCAGCATATCACATCACTTTTGGTAAGTCAAGTGACATCGTAAGGAACCTGTGAAGTACATGGCACAAATACATAAGCTTAACTGCAACGACTTCCATTTGTTGTTTTCAGATATATTTGATTCAGTTGTATTTGATAAATGTTGTTTGACAGTTAGGTAAAGCCGTTTTGTCATATAGTTGATTCAGTTGTGTTTGATAAATGTTGCCTCACAGTTATTGGGGCCTCTTATCAGGCAAGTAATTTGAACTTTTTTTTCAGTACTGTTGCCTCACAACTATCAGGACCTCTTTAGTTATCTACATAAGACGCATTCTTCTTGCAAACTGATCAAAGTCACGCAAGAGTTGTTGCCTGATTTGTGTTTGTTTTGTAACGGGTGTTGGAATAAATTTAAGCCCTTTTGCCAGTAAATTAATCTGGTCATTTGTAAGTTGTGTGTTTGAGAGGTTTTTTATGTTTTTGTTTGCCTCTATAGTTGAACGTTTCTGGCGTCTGACCTTTCTGCGCTCTTTGCGCTTATTCTCAGTTTTCACTCACGTGACCAAAGTCCTGACAACGGTTGCTATCCGCCATGTTGGTGTACAAACAAACACTGTAAAGCTCATGTTGTGAAGTAAGTCGTGATGGTTCTGTGCTTATTTGTGGATTGCCATGCAAGAAGCGGGCGAGATAAAGATGTTTCTTCCTTTAGAGTACCTTCAATTGATACTAATCATGGCGAGGAAGCCGAGGAGCGTTCAATGGAGCGTCGAACGCAGTGGATAGCGGCTATAAGCAGAGATGACTTAACGGAGCAAATCCTAAAAAATGACCGTGTTTGTAGCCATCATTTCGTCTCAGGTAAGCCAGCAAAAGACTTTGATAGGTTCAATGTTGACTGGGTGCCAACGCTAAATCTGGGACATTCAAAGAGAAAAAAGAAAGATAGCAGTACAGCAGATCAGGATCGGGCGGAGCGAGCTAAAGCTAGACGGAAGAAGAAGTTAAACGAAACAAAAGTAGAGATCGAGGAGAAGAAACTTCGCTTGAATGATGAAGGAACTCAAGCATCCAATATATCCTTTACGCCTTTAAGCGGTGATCTGGGTTTATTAACAGAAGAAACTCAAGAAACAGAGGAAATTGATGTTTCCTTCGCCGATCAAGACATTGCTGAAAATGAGAAAAGTTGTCAGACCGACGTCAAAAGCTTTGGCGAGATGTGTACTCAGACTGACGTTTTACACCGTAAATTTTATGATGCAACCTTACAGACAGAGGACTTTGATTATTTATTTGCGTCAAATAAAAAAGTCATCGAATTTGACGAAGAGTATTTCAGGAATAGCGACAATAAAGTGCTGTTTTACACTGGTCTTCCATCATATGAAATTCTGAACTTTGTGTTTGAACTCGTGTCACCGTCTGTTTCTCGTCGCTCTCAATCACTGAGTCCTTTTCAAGAATTTGTTATGGTCCTGGTTAAGTTGAGATTAGATGTACCTCTTCAAGACCTAGCTTATCGCTTCAACATCTCAGTTCCTACAGTATCCAGGACATTTCATTCTTGGTTGATGACTATGGACATAAGGTTATCGCCATTTCTCCACTGGCCTGATCGTGAAAGTCTTATAAGAACAATGCCACAATGCTTCAAGTTCAGCTTTGGAACAAAAACTACTGTAATAATTGACTGCTTCGAAATTTTCATTGAAAAACCCACTAATTTACTTGCTAGAGCACAAACATTCAGTTCCTACAAGCACCACAACACTATCAAGGTGCTAATTGGTATCACCCCACAAGGTACCATTTCCTATGTTTCTGAGGCATGGGGTGGTCGAACTTCCGACAAGTTTTTGACTGAAAACTGTGGGATATTGAGTAAGTTGGTTCCTGGGGACATGGTGATGGCCGATCGTGGCTTCACTATTCATGAAAGTGTTGCCTTCAAGGGAGCAAAGCTAGTAATTCCAGCTTTTACGAAAGGCAAGGATCAACTTGACCCAGTTGACGTTGAAACAACAAGGGATATTGCCAGTGTCTGCATCCATGTGGAAAGAGTCATAGGTCTTTTACGTAGCAAATACACAATACTGCAGGGGACACTTCCTACTGATTTTCTCATGAGCAATCCTCATGGATCTTTTGAAGAAGGAATCCCTGTAATTGATCGAGTAATTAAGGTTTGTTCTGCTCTTGTTAATTTATGTCCCCCAATAATACCATTTGACTAGGCTGTTACAATTTATTTATTATTCATAGTTAGACAACCAGTGAAACTCTAGAAATGCATTCCATTTTGGGGTTTGTTAATGAATGCTCAGAAGGGGAAAAAAGTTTTCAAAACTGGGATGCATTGTTCCCATTCTACTGTTTGAGGTGGACCATGAGTCTTGGTAGCTGTACACGGAGGGCCACACTGTAAATAAGGAGTGGACTTTAGAGGGACCACTAGTTTTGCAAATCAAAATTCAAGATAGCAAGTATGGGTTCACTCTGTACCAGTTTTTAGAGTGAGTATAGTTAACCCATGAGAATCTAGTTGACCACTAGTTACTTGTAGACCTTATTTTGATGACTGAAACTTTGAATAAGTGCTAGCTTTGTTTAAGAGAAGGTAATTCAAAAAGGTGCGTCAATGACCACATCACAAGCTCCTTCTCATTTTGTAGAACCAAGTTTTATTTAATGGAATAATTTTTGTGGGTTGACCATATAATATTTCAGTAGACATATATATTGGTTACTTATGTCATTTTATCATTGTCGTCCTTACCTACTATCTTGCTAGTTGTTGTCTGCTTTTTTAATTCAATGCCATAAATTAGTTTCACTTTAGAAATATCAAAAATAGTTCCACTTCAAAATTTCTACCATTGTTTGTTTGATTAGATAAAATAAAAGAGTACTTTGTTTTGATTAAAAGAAATTGTGAAAAGGTTATTCAAACCATGTCTGTGTTGTTTACACCTGTTTTGGATAACTTGACATAACAAAACAGTTTATGCATAAATCTAAAGTGATGACTTGATCACTGACTTCACCTTAATAACAGGTTTATCTTTGCATTAATAGTCTTTTGTTTTGACTACAACTAGAACAGCTTATATGAAGCATACGTATCAATATTATATGTATCTCTTGTACATTTTGAATATCATACACTTGTATATACAGTAAAATGCGTGGCTAATTCGAGTGTCAGTAACAGTTTATAATTACTTTAAATCTGGGGAAATGGGCTGAGCACTCCAGTTTTAAGGCATCTAGACAAATGAGGTCGCATCTGTGGTACATCAAATATGACAATACTCGGGTCTCTGCCATACACTATACAGGTTGCAAATGGAATAGAGAACACACCACAATCACTGCCATTTCCTTGTTGCTGGACAGGTACAATGTTCATTCCCGTAAAATTGTTTGCCATGAGATCTTTCAGTTGTTCTTCCACTTCATTAGCAATGATGTCATGGAATAAGCTGTCATACAAGTTTACTCTGCCCGGTAAACAACCAACAGAGCTAGTGCAGACCCAATGTTGGTTACCTGTGTGCAGAATTTGCACAAATTCACTTGTTACCACATCAAAGTTTCTTACTGGTCCCAGGGTAGTCCTTTGAAATCCATTGATCAGGGGATTTACTTGTTTCAGTAAAATGTGAGCTTCTTGTATGACACTGCAGTCCAACCATCCAGTTTGAGATTCAATGATATCATATTCAGCCTGAGTTAAATTCCCTAGAGAGGCTGTCTTATCAATGTTTCCATGACTAACTTTAGTTATTTGTATATCATCATCACTGTCACATTGATCAACAGAATGGTCATCATCACTATCTCTGTTAGATAGATCAACATCAACAGTACTATCAGCATCACCACAAAGATCTTGTAGAATTGAAGAGGTACAAGTGGTAGATTGAATTGAAGACGCTAAACTAGAACTGTCGTTTTCACCTGACTGAACTGTGGCAATGTTCAAATCATTTGCTTTATGGGGCTTTCCCTTGCAGCTGTTACAAACCCATGTAGTCTTGCTGTTATTTGGCATCCTTTTGTATTTCAGGCAGTCTAAATGAAAAAATGTTCCATTTAAACAGTCTTCACTGTGACATTCAAGAAGTCTATCACCTGGTCTTGGCTTTGAATTGCAAATACAGATGCTATTCAGGCTGAGAGCTTTGCTACATACATCCTGCTGTACTGCATTTCTGGTTTTAGCGCTTCTCTTGAATTCTGGTAATAGACGACAGGTAGGACAATACCATATCTTTGGAACATGATCACTTGATCGCAGACATGAAGGGTGAAACTTCATATAGGGACACTTGGCATTAGAGCAAGTGATGGTTTCTTCTTCAGTAACTTTTCTGCAATAACAAATGGCATTATCATTGCATGATACTGGAACTTGCACCAGACTTGGCATGTGGCATTTTCTTGTATACCACCTACCTAAAATTTCTGGTAGGATGCAAATTCTCCAAAACGTGGTCAATTTTGGTTGTAGTGATCCCCACAGGGTGTAATCAGGAAATATTCTTTCGTAAAAAATCACAGGTTGATTGTTTACATTGAAGGCAAACACTACAAAGTCACAGTACATCAGCTTGGTTATGTGGAGGTACTGTTGGGTCTGATAATAGTACTGATGATTTCTCTTCAACCTCAATTTACCCTTCACCATTTCAAGACAGGAGGTCTTCTTTGAGATGTAGGTCTGAAAATCCCCATTCTTAATACTAAAAGGACATTTGACCTCCCCGCAACCATCACCACAACAGGAACAAGAGGCCATAAAGTCAGGAGTAGCATGCAACCAGGGATGTTCTTTATCCACTATCATTCCACAATACTTTACTTGAAAGTCTTTATGGGTCTGACTCATAAGGGAAACATATGTCTCAACAGCAGTTTTCTCATATTTCTTGCCATGTGAGATAGCTTTAGAGGTAACTTTGAACAGGTGAGGGTAGCAGAGAGACTTGATCAAAGATTGTGATGGCTGCATTGGATTACTGTGTGCCACAGTCCAACTGACTGAGGCCCCAATGCGGCCTGATCTGTGTCTATAGAAAAAATTCCCCTTGGATTGCTTCCTTGTGTCTTCTTCAATGGCATCCAGTTCATTATCTTTAAGGTCTAAGCTGACCTCAAAAGATTGCTTCAGAAGATCCGGATAGCTGAGTTTCAGATGGCTAGGGTCATACAAATCTGGCATTGTAAGTACGTGTTGGCTTCTTGACATAAAGCTTTCAGAATAAGGTTTAAAAAGACTTAGAATGACTGGTTTTACATTCAATTCATTTAACTTCTTTAGTTGAGCATTCATTTCATCCTCATCAAGTGGTCTTACTGACATGTTTGATTTTTTAATAATTCTTGCTGGAGCTGGTAGTTGGGACTGATTCACACCCTCACAAGCATCTATTTTGAGGTCCATCTCTTCTTTTAATTTTTTCGATGATTTAAAATTGATGTCTCGAGCTCTGGCGTAAGTAACTTCGTTCACGTACGAAGGTAAAAGCCACGTGCATTTGACTTGCGTGCAGGCCAATTTTCCATTGATCCTTGTCCATGTTTCAATGTAAAATAGAACGCTTGCAACGTGGGAACACGTTTCTGCTAAGCCAGCCTTACAACCCATGCAATGGGCCGAAATTATTGTTCCTTCCTGGCTCGAAATCACCCAAACGGGGATCGGCGGGTCATTCATGCGCTGCGAATGTCGCACTTTTGCAAGAACCACGTACTTTCCGGCGATAACTTTCCCCTGTACACTGGTAATAAAACCAGAAACCATCTGGTTATACGCCTCTAAACTTTTGAAAGCTTTCAATTGTTGTGCAGTATAATAACTCGTATCTAAAACCAAATACGACAGTAGATCTGTGGCTTCGATGGGTGGTAAACAGTCTGGATCGACCTTCGCGTGCCATAACGTAGCCGGGTCAATACCAATCACTGATATTTTCTCAATGTAGCGACGTTTTACCCGGCTCTCTAGCTTTTTCGAGTACTCTGATAAAAGAGGAACAAGTGTGGAATCTTCCTCATCTTTTTTTTCAAAGTTTTCTGTTTTAGATTCGCCGGCATTATCTTCAGACATGCTGTTGTAATCCTTCACCCCGCAATGCATCTGGTTCCGGTATGAGCTGAAACTTTCTCAATTTAACGTAGATTTTCAAAACATTCTACATTTTTCAACTACTCTAACAATAGAGGAATGACATAGCAATCATCTCCATAAGTTTCACTTGATTTTCTCCAACAGATCTATCAAATTCGTTGATTTTTCTTAGACACGTGTTAGAAAACCGTACATCGCTTTGTATTTTGACATATGCTAATGAGCAAGCTGTACACCAATATGGCCGCCAAGTAAATATGATATGCTTGTGACGTACGTTGAAAACCGAGAATTAGCTGCTAGCCGTTTGGCTTTTAAAATTTGTTTTTTGGCCCCATGTTTGTGGTGGGAGTCAGAGAATACACATGTGTACTTTTGAACTTCTTTATTTTCAATTGCTCCTAGTTTTTCCATCATATTGCCGAACTGGGCGATTCGTGCCTGGAGGTTAACATCAATGTGTTTTACTGTTTCGATCGTTACATTGTTTTCAGCTTGTGCTGCGCGCTGGTTCGATCGCACTACAGTTCTTAGTGTTCAGTGCTATAGCCGGTGCGGCTCGCTTTCCTTTCTTGGTTTCGGCCTTAAAACGGCCGATTTCTCGTTGATGGAATCGTATAATCGTATTGAGTGTTTCTTGCTCGGCGTTCTGACAGATTTGTTTTATCTCTCTCTTGAAGTCCTCGTCCGCTGTTATTTTGGCCCTTGCCCTATATTGTAGGGTTTGTGGGCAAGTTCCCCTGTCCGTGTGCCTTTTTAAAGCTTTGATCGCACCTTCGGCTTGGCAAACCTTGTCCTCCGCGAATAGACTATGGCTCCGTTTACGATTCTCTGTGGATGGGCTGTGGCAGCAGCGTTTTCGGTACTGTTCTGTCCTTGGTTCGCTGGTACTCCTTTGAGGGCGCCTGTCGCGGCTTTGGCATTGCTGTTTAGGCAGTTTAGGTTTTCTAGGCACTTGATACGGAGGGATTTGTTCATCGTTATCGGACTTGCCGAGTAGATCATCCTCATTAGCGATGTCGTATGAGACTTCCATCTTGTCCTCATTCTCAAACGCATTGCTTGTGCCAGGGGCACTTAGTAGCTCATCTGACGTTATGTTTTCTAACATTTTCTGTGAATGGTCAGGCAAGACAGTGGTTTCGATCCTAATCTTGTGGATCTCGTCAGTTGCCGATTGAATAGAAAGACTGATAGAGATGTGTTCTCGGTATCAGTCACGAAAAGAGTGTTTCTTGACCATTTTATACTCGTTCGAAGGATCGAAAATCCTGTGTTTCTATTGGCTCTTTATGTTTTGGCCAATTGTGTGTTTACATCGAAGATCCTTGCGAGCCCAGCATGAGTTGTGTTTCTTTTGTAGGCTAAAATGCAAAATTTTGAGCAGATACTGTGATAGTTTTGCGAGGAGAGAGTTTCCTGCATTAGTGTAGTGTTGTTCCTCTGTGATTGCCCGGTTTTGGGGGCCGTATGTCGTGTATTAGTTAGCAAAAATTGATATTTCTGCATTGTACAGTGTATTGCTCAATGTAATTAACTCTGTGTGCAAATTCACTGATGAAAGAAAATTTAAAGTTAAATGCCTAATTTATTGCGATTGTGTTCAGACACCCACCCCCATCATTTTACAAGCAAAAAAAGATCAAAAAATAAGTGAAAAGTCATATTACAGTCTCTTTGTCTAGACCGTTGAATTTGGTTGAAAAATTTCATTGTCTCTAAAAACTGTACAAGCTGAAGATGCTAGCTAGAGAGATGTTCAAGTGGATATTTCGTACAGATCTTTAGTTGATTTAAGATAAAAAGGGCAAAGTTAATAATTAATAATCGACAGTAACACTGAGATGTGGACAGATGTGCAGTGGCGTGGTCATCTCAATTGCTTCATTTCTTTATTATATTATGACCTATATTGAAACAGTCAAGGACGCCAAGCAGTTTTTCGTTTTTCGTGGTTAGTAGTAAAAATAAATTTCGCTCTATTTACCACAGGATTAGATCATTGCAGACATTATACCACCAAAGTCAAACTCGTTGGTCATCGATGATCCAACAAAATATTTGGGTCTTTGCATCATGCTAGTCAGTTGAAGAATTTGAAGCGTTTTGGTGGCCTTTCAGTGAAGCTCATAAACGATAAGGTCCGATAACTATCAGTATTTTTTTAAGTGGACTGAAGGACAGGATAAGAAGATAGTACTTACCAAACGGTTTCCCTGAATTTTACCAGCCTCTTCTCCCCTCGCTTTACCAAACAACGGAACTTGTTTTTTTTCCTGTAATTTTCCCCCCCTTTTCCTTCTTCGTAGAAAAATGCTATGCAATTTATAACCACCGCGCTATTTGCTGGATTAACTGACCGATATTCTGGATCGCTCGCCATTGTTTCACGACTGGCATGAAAGAACTGGTAAGGTCGAAAAGGTTCGATAAGGTTAGCCCAGCCGACTATTCCCTTAAGGTCAATGAGGTCATAAAATAATGCGACATGTTACCGTATCATTGTATAAAAAGGTTAATGTCGTTAATCATATGAAGTATTAACTGAAATTACAAGCCATACGATTTGTCTGGACTGCTTGCGCAATACGGTCCCCGACTGTGCAACTGGGAAGACACGCAGGCTAGCTAGGGAGACCTTTTAGGACATTTTAGGACTCCTTTTAGGATTGCATAGTTCTCATGCTTTAAAAAAGAAAGGACTCAGGAAGCAGATCACCGCGAGACAACAATTTTTTCACCGAGTACCACTACATAAAATTTAACATTACCACATACTGGTTGGATTCTACAAATTCTACAATCACCAAGGTACAAATTAAACAAAAAAGTATGGTTATCTCATATTAATTTCGCTTAACCTGGCCATGTGGGATGTAGAGCGACTAGGTAAGCAGTAAATCCCTACTCTTTTTGTTATAACTCTTCTATCCTAAGCAAGGACCATTTTGTCATGTGTGACATGTGCTTAAATGTAGTACATCATCGTATAGATACATTCCTCAAACTTATTAATAATTCAAGAAGTGATAAACCAATTGCGTGCCCGCATTTAGGTCACATGGATGCACCTTGATACCGCGGTAAAGAACAGCATGTTTCGATATCAATTAGAAAAAGCAATACATAACTTAAACAAAGCTTTATTACTTTTATTGTTTGCTGTTTACATTTACGTGTCTAAGCATCGCGAAAAATAGCAAACCTCAAAAGTAGTAACTCATAAATTTTGTAAACATTATAAGTTTCTATATCACATAAAGCACACTAGATTAAAGTATAACTTCTCCAAACTTACCTCTTATCACTGCTGTCTAAAGGATTCAATGCATTTCCTTCATTAACGTCCTCCAAATACCGCTTTAAGCCACAAATAATTCCATACAAGGAACAAGACGGATAGTGACCTTTGTTCTTATTAGCAACTTCTTGGACGAATTTTGTGAGCCAATAGTTTAGGGAAAGACTATCCAGGTCCTTCAACTTCTCTTCGAGACTTAGCGCACAGTGGACATCATAAACTTTGAACACGCTTCCCACATAAAGTATACACAATTTTTGCTCGTGCGCTGCTTGCCAAGTTCTGAAAACCTCAACAGCCCACTTGTCTTTATACTGTGTACTTTTAGGCTTGGACTGTACAAGCAAAGGATCTTCTTCTTGCACACTTTTGGGGGTTGAAACCGGCAAGATTCATCCTCAGCTAACCCATCCATGTTTTGGAACTAGCAGAATGCCACTGAATGCAAATTGTTACTAGTTGAAATAAAAAAGCTTCAGTTGTGAAAAACACGACATTATCATCACAAACTATGCCTTGATTAAACAAAAGAAGGCAAAAATCACATGCGTATGTGATTTTTGCTTTCAGTTGTTCTTTTGTTTGCAATTAGGCGCTGATTGAGAAGCCATTTCAAAAACTTGTGCTTCATGTTTTACCGGTGTTTCCAAACACTTGAAAACAATAAAAGCCCTCAGCCGTTACGGCCTTGGGCTTTCATCAGTTTTCTCGTGTGTGGAAACCCCGGTAAAATCCTCGCGCTCGTTTTTGAAATATTACGTAAAATGTTGTTTGGTCAAATTTGCATGGCTTTCCTCTCTAAGTATGCACTTTCCTACGCTCATATACTTCAATATTAATAATGATATAACATGCATAGTTACAATGAAATACACACAACATACCTGCATCTCCTGCTGCGATAAGTTTGTTTATTACATGTATCACGAGAACTTCACTTCGTAAAGCTTATTTGTAGAAATCTAAACACTTTATGTTCACATGTGAGAAAACCTTACACAGCCAATCAGAATGGCATACAGCTGTCTTCACATGTGGATGTATAACCAATCAACAACAGCGTAAATACCTTTGAGCCAATCAAAGTCGTTCATCCAACTTGCATCTCAAATGGCTTTCCACATTTGGCAGCTTTTTAGTGGTGTGTCGAAATTTTTTTTCCACAAAGAAAGAAGGAAAACAATAACAGGTTGTGTCGGTTGGTTGCTCGTTTCAAGAGTTTGTGTAGCATCAAAGAAACAAGAACACATTATCCAAACCATGGAGAGATGTGTCGTTATTGAAAAAGGTTTTTAGTTTCAGGAATGAGCGGAGAGAGTGGGAAAATATTGATGCAAGAGATCTAGACGTGTTAATCGCCAATTTTCTATTTCAAGTTCGTAAGAAAGACAGAGAACAATAAATAGACGAGCCCACATCGCTGAGGTGTGTCTTTTATAACGTACGTACTAGATTTAACTTTCCTAGAGCATTTTCTGTTCAGCACGATGAGGACTTTGATTGCCAAGATTTGCCATTGCTATTAAATTTGCATTTGGATTTCAGTATTTGTGATTTCCTCTGAGTAATAACCTTTTGTGTTAGACAAAGAAAACTATTTCAGTGAAAATTCTCGTAATATGTGTGATAAACAGCTCACATCATAGAAAGTGCTTTGTATGGGATTATATTCACTCGTTTGTGTCGAAAGCTTTCACTCGCTCGTACC